ATTTCACTGAGATGATTCTGGATTTGTGGAAATTCAGGCCACGCTTCATTTTTAACAGCTAAGAAAAATGTCTTGCTGAGCCATTGATTGAAGGTGGGTTAACCAACTTCCAATTTAAGGACTGACTTGTACTCACATATGCTCATTGTTCCCACACCAACCAATAGCTCCATGTGCTTACAGATAATCTGTGACGATTACAGTATTGTTATATACGACATTGTTAATTCGCAATCCCTGGCTGCTAATCCTTGAAAGCACTTAGACTGTCATACGTCAAATCAGCTAGCACCTCTTCTTGGAAACATGAATGAGTAGTTGCACTAACTCACCACATATCATTTAAAACACATCAACCCTGAAGTGACTGAAATTAAACTCTGTCCTTACCTGTCATCTCTACTCTCTTCTACTGGTGCCTGTCTGTGAGGGTTTCCTAAAGTTCTGCCTAGTGTCTTGTGAACAAAGCATAGGAATGACCGTGGGTACCGTGTTGGGGGATAATCTACCCCATAGAAGTCATACTTTGTAGTGGAATTTCAAACCTTTGGACCATTGGACCCCAGTGCAATGTCAGTTCGTGGCGTCTGGGAACCTGAGTCACAGAATCCAGAGCCCTCAGCATCCTTCCCATGGCTTGTGGAGAAACCAGCCGTTTCCACAATTAATAAAAGTGGTGACAGAAAAGCAACAACCAGGGAGACCTCTGCTAACATCTCTGGTGAGCTCCTGTGAGGAGCTGCCGAAATCCTGGATAGAGGCCGGACCAGAGGCTCGGTGGTAGAGCGCGGTGCTCTGCCAGACTGACCCACGTGGGAAGGCCGAAACCCACCTCCAGAGACCTCCGTGAGCACGCTGGGCATGTGCCAGGAATTCCATGACCCAGGCCGGCGGAGGCTGGGTGGATCATGGGGCCGATGTCCTACTGGTGCTGGTGTCTCTCTGTCTCACTCATGGAGGAAACATGTAAATAAAAACTTTAATGCAGCGGCCAGCAGATGGGGTAATGGCTATGTCACTGAACTCCCATGTAGTCAACCATGGTTTGAGTCCCAGACCGAGTGGCTTAAACTCATGCCGGGCGTGTGTGCGTATATGCCCAAGATCCCCAGACGAGAGTGGAGGAGAAGGGATTGCAGTGTGGCCATCCCTTGTGGAAGGTGATTTCTCACTTTCTGTTTGTCTCTGTCTTTCTGGTGAGCGCAATCTCCCTATAGCAAAAACCTCTTCCCCACCCCCTCCCCCAAAAAAACCTATACTGCATATATTAGCAATAAATGAGATGGGAAGAATGGTCCTAAGAGCTTGTTTCCACTAGACAGAGCCTGGCAAGGTCCAGGACTTGAACTGTGTCCAGCCAAGTGGGAGTTCAGAGCCGTAACTACCACACCACCTGTTGGCAGACTTAACTACCATGCCACCCCATTTAAATTGCTTTTAATGATGTCCTGTACCCACTTTTCTGCAGTGACTAGCCACAGAATGTTTCAGTGGCCAGTGTCTGTGTGCTCTCCTGCAGGACTGAGTGGGAGGGACACCTGCTCTCCTCCCACAAGTAGCAGCCCAGCAGAGCAAGTTTGAGCCCACTGCAAACATGCAGCCATGGCTCTGCCAACCAGCAGGCATGCAGCCTGTGCTGCTCACCTCAGCTCTCCAACCAGCAGGCATGCAGCCAGTGCTGCTCACCCTAGTTCTCCAACCAGCAGGCATGCAGCCAGTGCTGCTCACCTTAGTTCTCCAACCAGCAGGCATGCGGCCTGTGCTGCTCACCTTAGCTCTCCAACCTGCTTCCTCTTCTGAATGTTGGGGGCAGTCATCCCACTGTCATGAAACTAGCAGAATCAATGAGCTGAGACACTGGAAGCACCTGGGACCGTGTCCTGCTAGCGGGTAGTAAGGGAGCTCCCTTTGCTCTGCTCTGTTCTGCAGTGCCAGGGGTGAGAGGAGCATGTCAGGGCTACCGACACGGAGAGCTAACTGGGGCAAAGTCAGGATTGAAACAGAAATGAAACGGCTGAGTCCTTGGGTCCTTTGCCAAGGAGAAAAAGGAAGGGACCTAGGCCCTGGGAG